GGAGGCCATCACCTGCTGAAGGGGCTGCCTGCCCAGACCCACGTTATAGTGCTGGTGGGTGCTTCCACACTGGGAGTACCCTCCCACAGCACGACAGCGACATCTCAGTGTACACCTACAAGAGTACACTGATGATGGACCTGGAGAGGTAGAGGCCCAGGGCTGCCCCTGCTCCCAGATCTGGGGACACACACACACGACACGTGGTGACACATGATAACATGCCATGGGCATCATATCGCATGATACCACACTTGGGGAGGGGGTGGGGACTCAGGGCTGCTGTGTCAGCCCCCTGCAAGAGGGGAGGTGGGCCACAAAACACAGTGACATACCATGACATGCCACAGCAGGGGTGATGCAATGAGGTGTGACATCATGTGTGACCACACTGATGATGTCAGAGGGAGGTCCAGCCCCATTGCAGGTCCCCAGTGTGGGGCAGGAGGAGGAGGGGGGTCCATCTGCTTGGGCTCCAGCCCCAGTGAGCGCAAATAGGGGCACTGAGGTGGTATGGGAGAGCACTGGGAGGTGTTGGGGTGTGCTGGGAAGCAGTGGGAGGGCAGCAGGGTGCACTGGGAGGCAGTGGGATATGCTGGGATGGGGCAATGGGCCATACTGGGAATCACTACTGGTTCGATCATACTGAGAGTCCTAGGGAGAGCACTGGACCATACCAGGATTTGCTAGGAGGCACCAGTCCCTACTGCAAGGCAGGGGTATGAGCGGTCTGAGCTGTACTGGGAGTCACTGGGCCATAGTGGGAAAGAGGTGCTGGACCACACCAGGACCCACTGGTCCATATTGGGAGTTACAGATCTGGGGCTCTGGGCCATCCAGAGGGGCATGAGAAGGCACTGGTGCATACTGGGTAGAAGGATTCTGGGGCTGTAGACTGCGCTGGGAGGCAGGAGGAGGCTCTGGCCTTGCTCTGGGGGGCAATGCTGGGGGGACACCAATGGGCAGTGGTGCATACAGGTGGGTGCTGGGTAAGGGGAATGTGCACTTCATGCAGGCAGCAGAGTGGCTGAACAAGGTGGGGGGGCTGGCTGTTGCTGCTTGCAACTGGAATGGGAGGAGAAACAGGAGGAATGGGCAGACATGGGGGGAATAGGGGAAAACAGAGAGGGAACCAGGGGGAAATGGGGGAAGACGCAGGGAAAATCGGAGAAAGTAGGGAAAAAGCAGAGAAAAAAAGAGGAAATGGGGGAAAATGTGAAATAACATGGAAAAAATGAGAAAAGGGGGTAAGCAGGAGAAAATGGGAGGCAATGGGGGAAGAAATAGGGGCAAAAATGAGGAAAAATAAACAAGGGAAAGGGGAAAAATGAGAAAAAATAAAACAGGGAAAAATGGGGCACGAGTGGGGGAAAAGAGTGGAGAAAACCAGGAGAAAATTAGGGAAATTGGTGAAAAAGCAGGGTAAAATCAGGAAATGGGGCAGAAACAGGCAAAAGCCAGGGGAAAACAGGAGAGAAGAAAACTTAGGGGGAAAATTGTGGGAAAATGGGGAAAAATCTGAGGAAATGGGTTGGGAATGGGGGGAAGGTGAAGAAATGGTGTAAATGGAGCAAAACCAGGGAAAAAATGGGAAACAGGGAGAGAGAGAAATTGTGGTAAACAGAGAAGAATTGGAGAAATGGGGAAAACTGGGGAAACAGGAGGGAAGAAATGGGGCACAAATGAGGCAAAACAGGTCAAAACCAGGGGAAAAAAGGCAAAACGGTGCAAAACCAGAGAGTTATGGGGGTCAGGGCAAGAATGGGGGAGAACAGGCCAGAATATGGCAAATGAGATAAAAGCAGGGAAAAACAGGAAAACGTGGGGCAACACCCAGAAGAAATAGGAGGAAATGGGATGAAAATGGGCAAAATGGTGCAAAAATACTGCAAAAGAATAAAACTGGGGGCAAACTCATAGAAAACTGAGGCAAAAGAGGGCCAAAATGGGGCAAAAAAGCAAAAATGAGGCAGTGGGGGGGGTGTCTGGCAGTGGTTATTGGGTGGGGGGGCAGCAATGGGCAAACTGGGAGACACTTATGGTGCACTTGGGGGGAATCTAAGGCAGTTATGAAGAACTTCAACAGCTGAGGGGCAGTTTTGGGGCAAGTGGAAAATGGGACAATTTGAGGGCAGTTTTGGGCAGATGTGGCACAGCTGGGGGGAACCAGGGGCAGTCACAGGACAGTGGGGGGCAGCTATGGGTCAGGCCCTTCATGTGGGTCAGACCTGGAGTTGCTGATGCAGGGGTTGTGGCTGCTGGTGTGGGGAACAGGGACCCCAACCCCAGCCCCTAAGTAAACCAGTATGGTCCAGTGCATCCCAGTACCACACACATGCCATGGCTGCCCACCCACCACAATCCCAGTATGGGTCCAGCACTCCCAGTACAACGCTACCCTGAGCCACAGCTGTAAGTCACATGATCAGGATGGACCCCAGTGCTTCCAGCATGATGCCAGCATGAGCTGCAAGTAAAGCAAGATCCTAGTATGAGCCCCCATGTTCCCAGTATGGACCCAGTGTTCCCAGTACAGTGCCAGTCTGGGATGCAGCTGAGTACAATCCCAGTATGAGCCCCAAGGATCCCAGTGCACTCCCAGTGTTCTTGGTATGCACCCTAAGGCTCCCACTATGGGCCCTGAGGCTCTGAGTGCAGCCCCAGTGCACTCCCAGTGTGGCTCTCCGTACAGGCTGCAGGGCTCCCAGGGCACTCCCAGCACAGGCTTCAGCGCACTCCCAGTATGGGCCACAGCACTAACAGTACAGGCCCCAGTGCTCCCAGCACATGCCACCAGTAAAGGGTTTTCATTCTGACCCATCCCAGTACCTCCTTGGGCTGAGCTCCCAAAACCTCAGCATTTCCCCCCAGAATCATGTCACCAGCATGCCATTGCTTTTACTGGTGGATGGGCGCACTGTGTCACAGGATCAGTCCTCCACCAGTGAACTCCATTCGCTGCCAAGGGAAGAGAGAGAAAGAGGGTTAGAGAAGGGACCCTGGTGTCCAGGCCAGGGAGAACCCTGGCATCTGAGGGAACAGGGGCAGGAGACCCCAGTGTCTGGGCGCACCTGTGGGGGGGCCACGAAGGCCAGCCAGTCAGAAGGGCGGGTGGGCAGCAGTCCCATGGCCTGGCACTTGTAGAGGGCCAGTGCCAGCCCCAGCCCATTGCCCACCAGGAACACCAGCCCCTGCAGTGCCCGCCGGCTTGAGCTCTCCAGTGCCTTCAGTGCTGCAGGGGAGACAGTGGGATGGGGAGACCTGTCACTGTCACCCACGTGCCACACACCGGGCATGATGGGGGACAGTGGGAAATGACGGGTGGCAATTGGCAAGGGACCATCACGGGGAGAGTGGTGGGGAGATGCGAGGTGGATGGCACAGGAGCGGCTTTTGGGCAACTGCTGGGGGACACATGGGACTAACTGACATGGGGGTGACTATCACTGGGGTGACTTTTGGGGGGTGTGTGTGGATGACTGACATGAGACTGACTGTCATAGGGACAACCGTAGGGGGATGCATGCAGACGAGTGACATGGCGGTGACTGCTGGTGGACACAGTGGAACAACTGACAGAGGGGCAACTATTGCAGGGGACATGCATGGCTGTTGTAGGGATGACTGCTGGGGAATACGTGGGGATGGCGTTGCAGAGTGAGATGCAGGGCAGGGAACTGCTGCAGGTCTATGGGGCAACTGTCACGTGGCAGGGGATGGCTATGCAGGGACACCCGGGGAGCTGTCACCCGTGTAGAGCTGTACTCACTGGCAGAGAGGGACATGAGGGCCTGCAGTGGACGCCAGCCCATCATGCAGACCATCATGGCAGGAAAGATGGAGATGGTGTTGCCGGCCATGTACATGATGAACAGGTTCATGGGGATCTGCTTCAGCGGCGCCAGTGCCACGTCCCAGCAGCGCTGCAAAGAAAGAAGGGACTCAAGCAACCGGGTGGGGGGGGGGGGGGGCACTGCCCTCCTACAGGGCCCAAGCATCTGGGACAAAGACCATCCCCCCATGGGGAACCCAGGCGTCCAGGGAGTGTCCCTCCTCCCCCCAGTGCCTCCCGAGTCCGCCCCGC